CCCCTCCCAGAGGGAATAAAAGAGGAGCGACAGGGGAGTGGAGTTTGCAGGAGACCATTACTTCACTTCATTGGTTTGTGACTCTCTTCTCTCTTTCTCCTTCTCTCACTCCTCCTCTCTCTCTCTCTCCCTCTCTCTCTCTCCCTCGCCCCCCTCTCTCTTTCTCTCCCTCCCATCCTCTCCGTCCCCCCCCTCTCTCTCACATGAACACAAACACAGACCACAATGCACAGGAAACACTTCCAGAGGGAATAAAAGAGGAGCGACAGGGGAGTGGAGTTTGCAGGAGACCATTACTTCACTTCATTGGTTTGTGACTCTCTTCTCTCTTTCTCCTTCTCTCACTCCTCCTCTCTCTCTCTCTCCCTCTCTCTCTCTCCCTCGCCCCCCTCTCTCTTTCTCTCCCTCCCATCCTCTCCGTCCCCCCCCTCTCTCTCACATGAACACAAACACAGACCACAATGCACAGGAAACACTTCCAGAGGGAATAAAAGAGGAGCGACAGGGGAGTGGAGTTTGCAGGAGACCGTTAGTTCACTTCATTGGTTCGCGACTCTCCTTTCTCTCTCTTTCTCCTTCCCTCACTCCTCCTCTCTCTCTCTCCCTCGCCCCCCTCTCTCTTTCTCTTTCCCTCCCATCCTCTCCGTCCCTCTCCCCCCCTCTCTCTCACACACACAAACACAGGCCACAATCCACAGGAAACACTTCCAGAGGAAAGAAAAGAGGAGAGAAAGAGGTGTGGGCTTTTACAGGAAACAATTTGTTCGTTCATTCATTCATTCCTTTCAGGAGTGTGAAGATCTGTCCGGGAATCTCAGAGACTCTGTGCCCTGTGAATCTTTCCTTCTGCAGCCCCGCATTTGGGGAAATATCGACATGGCAGCTTTCCAAGACAGATAAGGTCTGTGGCCAGAAATACACCTTTGAAAGACTCTTTGCTTGGCTGAATGCGAATGAGAGGAAATTCACATTCGTTTAATAGAAGGGGTTTTCTCGGGACCAGGACTCTGCTTACCCCCCCCCCAAAAATGAATTAATAAATATATACGCGAGTCGATAAAATTGACCTTCGCCGGAGAAATAAGATTTGAGCAGGTTTCTCTGAGTTTTGGGCGACAAATTCAGGATATTGATAGCCGCCGAATCCGTCAGGGCCCCTCCGAAGCCTTTGATCTTTTGATACTTCTGCGACGTCTTCAGTTTCAAAACCAGATTATCTAGTCGAAGGAAGGAAAGGAGAGGTAGGGATTTTTTTTAAAAAGCAAAACAAAATCCACCACCACCCAGTTTTATAAAGGATGGCGCTTACTGTTCTCTCGAACGCCCACCTGATTGGCAAACGTTGCCACCTTCGCCTAACAGGCTGGACTTGTTTAGCGGAATGGCTTGTGGATTCTGTGTTGGCACCCACGCGCCATTCCTTCGCTCCAGATTCAAACCGGATTATAAAACCAGACTGGTCTAGCATCTGGTGGAGGTGGTTAGGAGCCGATTTGAGTAGTGAGGGCTCAATACTTCCATAAATCAATCAACTGGTGGGTGGGATTCTCTCCATTAAGGAATATGTTAGGAGATTTGAGGGGGATGAAAAGTTTTCCAAACTTCTCAATCTTGGCCCAAAGTTCACCCAACTGGATTTCCGGTCTAAGGCCGGAACTAGAACTCACCGTCTCCTGGTGATTGGCCCAAAGTCTCCCAGCTGGGTTTCATGGCTAAGGCGGGACTAGAACTCCCAGTCTCCTGGTGATTGGCCCAAAGTCTCCCAGCTGGGTTTCATGCCTAAGGTGGGACTAGAACTCCCAGTCTCCTGGTGATTGGCTCAAAGTCACCCAGCTGGCTTTCATGGCTTAGGTGAGACTAGAACTCACAGTCTCCTGGTTTCAAGCCTGATGCCTTAATCACTAGACCAAATTAGTTGAGAACTGGGCATTGAGACATCCAGGCCTACCTCGCAGGGTTCTTATGAGGATAAAAGGAAGGGGAAGCCTACTAGATGTCATGTTGTCCTGGATTCTTTGGGGTAAAAGCATACTTGGGGATCTAATCCAGCCTCACCATTCTCGGAAGGATTATCCACCAGGAGGCCCTCGCTCCGCTCCACACGGCGTCCGGCCTTATTGCTTTCGTACTTCACATAAGACCCCGATTCAGGGAGAGTGAGGGGCTCCAAAGTATCACAATAATCAGCCCCGCATTCACACACCAAGGAGCCATGCCCAAAATTTCTGGGAGAACATGGGCGTCCGCCTGCGGGAAAAGAAAGAAGAAAGAAAAAGAAAGAAAAAGGAAGGAAGGAAGGAAGGAAGGAAGGAAGGAGAAGAAAGGAAGGAAGAATAGGAAGAGAAAGAAGAAAAAGAAGAGAAGGAAGGAAGGAGAAGAAAGGACGGAAGAATAGGAAGAGAAAGAAGAAGAAAGAAGAAGAAAAGGAAGGAAGGAAAGAAAGAGAAAGGAAGGAAGAATAGGAAGAGAAAGAAGAAAGAAAAAGAAGAGAAGGAAGGAAGGAAGGAGAAGAAAGGAAGGAAGAATAGAAAGAGAAAGAAGAAAGAAAAAGAAAAGGAAGGAAGGAAGGAAAGAGAAGAAAGGAAGGAAGAATAGGAAGAGAAAGAAGAAGAAAAAGAAGAGGAAGAAGGAAAGAAGGAAGGAAGGGATGGGCAGCAAGGAAAGATGGAAGAAAGGAAGAAAAGGAAGAGGAAGAAGAAGGAAGGAAACAAAGAAAAAAGGAAGGAAGGAGAAGGAAGGAAAGAAAGAAGAAAAGGAACAGAAAGAAGAAGGAAAGAAGGAAGGAAAAGGGAAGGAAAGGATGGGCAGGAAGGTAAGATGGAAGAAAGGAAAAGAAAAGGAAGGGAATTGGAGGGGAAGGAGGGAGAAGGAAGGAAGAAAAGGAAGAGAAAGAAGAAGAAAGGGAAGAGAAAGAAGAAAAAAGAATAAGGAAGAGAGGAAGGAAGGAAGAGAAAGAAAGAAATTGACTTGATAAAGGTGCAGGAAACCAGTCTTTATATTTTCATACACATTTCCTTCTGTTTTTCTGCTTCATTCTCAAGATGCCAAGCAGAACTAGAACTCCCCGTCTCCTGGTGATTGGCCCAAAATCACCCAGTCGGTGTTCATGCCTAAGGAGACACTAGAACTCCCCGTCTCCTGGTTATTGGCCCAAAGCTTGCCCAGCCAATTTTTCTCCCTAAGTCGAGACTAGAACTCCGAGCCTCGTCGTGATTGGCCCCAAATCACCCCACCAGCTTCCATAGTGCCTAGGGTAGGGCTTGAACTCCCCGGCGCCTGGCTCCTAAACCTTCATCCCTAGAACTAGACAGTGTTCATTTATTGCCCCTGCAGGAACGTTAGCCAGGAAGTTCTCTAGAAGACAGTTAGACTGCTTCTAAACATGGAGGCTCTCTTCCAGATTACTTAATCTCAGTCATTTGCAAAAACCGAATATTTAGTTGTAATCCCAGCTTTAAGGCACATTTTGCAAGGGAAGGAATTGTGCAAGGCAACATAACTTGTCGACACTTGCTGACGCTTGATTTTACACACTTACCCGTCGGGGAGCAGGTCAGCTGGAGTAGCCACAAAGAGACAAAGAAAATCTGAAGGCCCCCACGAGACATCGCTGCGAATCCCAGGACTTCTCGGGGAGATAACAGCCGGGTGTTTCAAAGCAAAAACTAGACGGGAAGATGAGACGTTCATTTATATTTCATTTTACGACGAGAAATTTGCACAGACGCCTCTCTTAAATACCCTCCCTGCAGCACCTTCTCGGGGCAGCAAGACACCCCCCCCCCAAATCCCAAAAATTCAAACAAAAAAAACCTCCAACCCCCCACCTCAACGTAAAAATAAATTTTAATGGTAACATTGAAAAGAGAATAGAACTCCGCTCTGGCAACAGGCGTGGCATCCGGCCATTAAAAACACTCTACTAAGATCCATTCAGTTGCCCAGACTCCACCCCCGCAAGGGATTATTATGGGGTCATTCAGTGAAGATGATGATGATGATTGAAAGGAATAAAATTAACACACTGTATGGGACAGTGGTTTTATCCACGGGGAGGGTCCATTTTAGGACCAAGCCAGACCCCACCCCCCTCCTCAAAAAAAAACAGGCAGGTTTTGGGGTTCTTTGGAAATCTTCAGCAGTTCTCCTCTCAATTATGGAGAGAAATTCAAGATGCTAGCCCTCTTTGAGCGATATTGAGTTCCGGAAATCAGCCAAATCACTCAATTATGATCAATTTGGAGAGAAATTCAAGATGCTAGCCCTCTTTGAGCGATATTGAGTTCCGGAAATCAGCCAAATCACTCAATTATGATCAATTTGGAGAGAAATTCAAGATGCTAGCCCTCTTTGAGCGATATTGAGTTCCGGAAATCAGCCAAATCACTCAATTATGATCAATTTGGAGAGAAATTCAAGATGCTAGCCCTCTTTGAGCGATATTGAGTTCCGGAAATCAGCCAAATCACTCAATTATGATCAATTTGGAGAGAAATT